TTGCTGTGAAGACAGATGCGATAAATATGTTAATGGCAGATTTTGATAGTTCGGTTTGTAGAATTGCAAAGCCAGATGGAAGTGATAATTTTTCTTTCATTTTAATTTTGAAATAAAAAGCAGGCAAGAAAGAAAGTTCCTGATATTGTAACACTGTAATGACTTTTTGAAGGATAATGGACCTTAGCACAGAATTACGATTAACTATCGTGCCCTGATACTTACTGTTTTATTAAATTCCAGTTTCCCCAGCTGGAATTCTCTCAGCTTTCTTGCCAGAGCTGAGCAGATTACTGTCTGTGACTGACTTTTCCAGTTCCACATTCATAAAGGTATTTAGCAACAATCCTAATTTGAAGCTGGTAAGTATTTTACCGATTCTACTGTTGCTCAGGCTAGATGCGTGCCTAAGCAGACAACAGAAAAGAGCACTGGATGGAGCTAATCTCTCTTACTGTTTATCAGGAGCCAAATACTGCCTTTTTTAATTCCTAAGCAGTACACTTTGTGCCCTCAAGGTATTAGGAGTATCAGGACTAAACTGTAACCTTCCATCCCTTGATTATGGTTCCTCCAGTATTAACACACACTTAGCAATATTTGGTGTGGGCTCTTGTTTGATTTTTCCAATTTAAAACAAAGACATTGAGGGACACCTTCTTAAAACTGTAAGATATTTACTGCTTGAACTGACAGGCAAAAGAAAAAAACTAGAAAACTTTTACTGCTTGAATCCTCTTGAAGGGGAGGAAAGAGTCATTAGCAGTTAAAAAGCCTAGGGAAATTTTAGGAAACAATTTTCAAGCCTCTTTTGTTCAGGGTCTCACTTGAAACCTTATGCTGGAGTTACTAGGTGAAAACTTGTTTTATTATATTCACCGTGGTGGTTCTAACCGTGGAAAGAACAGGCACATCCGAGTTGTTATTTTTAAATGAATCTTAATTTCAAGAAGGTGAGGTCTTGACTGGTTCCTCCCATGGGGACTTCTCTCCAGGAACAACTTGGCAAGAGAGTGAGGCGCTCCATTCTCAAATCAGTAGCATTAACTTCTAGGGGTTTATTAGGTCATTCTAATTTCCTAGCTTAGCTCACAAATCAGAAATTGACTGGCTTGCTTAAACTATTTAATTCGACATGGCAGTTAGAGCCCCTTGAGGACTTTATTCCAATGATTCCAGTGAGGAAAATGTGGAATTCTTGTGAATGACTGCTTGTATCCTATGCTTTACCATTAGACAAAGGGTACAATCATTGTTTTGTCATCATTGTCCTCAGCTGGACGTGCTTGTGGGTAGAGGTGATACTGGTTATTAGATATTGCTATTTGATATTGATATTAGATAGACATCTGATATTTGAAATATCAGACTAATTTCATCATTTGATACATGCTATTTTGTTTCATTTGTTTTCATTGCATATATTTGCTTGGGGTTTGTCTTTGCTTATTCAATTAGCAAATAATACAATATTGCAAACATGTGTAGTCTGGATGTTTCTTACCCAAGATGAGAGGGAAAGGGAAAGTCTGCACTGTACTGTGGAGGGGAGAGGAGAGATCCCCAGGCTCTGGAAGTGAAAGCTCTGTCACAGGATCCAAGCCAAATTAATTAGTCCTGTGAAGAGACTGGGCAGGGCTCTTGGTTAATGTAGCTATACTATGTTTGAGAATTCATCTATTGTCTCTGGACTTTGCTGAACTATGCAAACATCAGTGTCTCTGCAGCATTGCATCTCGCACAAAAACAGAGGCAGTTCTTGCACTCATCTGAGGTTGCAGTCCATATTGGCTGCTGATCTCATGCAGTTCAGTGACTAATGTGATCAAAAGTACAGTGAAAGATACACTGCCTAGTCCCTCTCCTGGCCCTAGTGTTCCCTTGCCAAGGTCAGGGAACAGCAGGCAGAGACAGCTGGAGCCTCTCTGCCCTCACAGCCTTGCTGTGAGCTAAGAGGCGATCAAAGCACAGGCCGTAGCTAGAGGTGACCCACCCTTGCAGAACATCCTCAGGTATTGGCATAAAACACCCAGATCTTAGTCCTCTGTGGATTCATGCAGCAGCAACATTTAATCCTGGAGCACCAAGCCAAGCAGACTTTCCTGACTGGTGGTCAAAGAAGGCATTCACCACCCTCCAGCATCCAGATCTCCCTGAGCACCAGGCAGGGAGCTGCCTGCAGGAGGAACATGGCAATTCATGCAGTACTAAAGCTTATCCCAGGCTGCCACCTTGTCGTGCTTGTTTGGCTCATTAGGACATTAATCTGTTATTTATGTAAATAAGTCTGTGCATAGTCTCAAAATATGCAAAGAGGGCCATTTATCAGTTTCGCACCATCTCCAGCTTTCTGAACCCTCAGACATCCCTGATACAAGTAGAAGAAAGCATAGTGTCCCCTGTGCCACCACTAACAGAGAAGGTTAAGGCAGAGCCTATCCACTGACCCATGTTCTCTCAGAGGATTCATGGTGCTTGGGATAGAAGAGATAATGTATTCTGTGTGACTTTAAACCTATTATGTTACAGCTCAGGATGTTTAATCTTATAAATAAGGGAACTGTACTTGTTTCACGTTTCCAGGGAAGGAGATTTATGAATCTGCATAACTCTAAGCATTCTGACTGCAGTTTATTATTTATTTATATCAAGCATGTGACCAAAAAATGTCCTCTGGAACAGTCTGCTTAAATGCATTTCTTTGTCTGGACATCTGTAGCCTAAGGTCACTCTCGCTCATGAATGCGCAAAGGAACCTCAGCTCATCCTTCTCCTGTGTTTATTGCTCTGTCCTCACTTCAGGAAAATATCTTCTGCACAAGTCTAGTCTAGAATCAGCATCTACCTGTTGCTCTCCACACACAGCCATCAGTAACTGCAGGAGGTCTGAGTCTTCCTGACAAGGGTATGAGTCTACCAGAAACACAACTTTGGGGAATTCTTCCCCAGTTCTGAACTCCAACCCAGGACCAGGCTGTTAGCTCCAGGGACCAGTTTCTTGCATATCCTGCCTAGCCTAACAGGATGGCTTATTTAAGCTGTTACAAGATTCACTGTACAAACTAGCAGAAAAGAAGTTCCCGTAGTAGGAGTAAAGACAGAAGAAAATGACACAGCTTTTTGCTGTATCACCCTTATCTGAGGGACCCACCTTACCAATTCACTTCTATAGTCTGTTGTAGCCATGTCCCAGGACCCATGTGGAGCTGTGGACCTGCCTGTGGTCTTGGAATTGGCAGTAAGGGGATGAACATCTCCAGCAGGAAATGAGAAGTACTCACAAGGGTATCCCCTTCCAGGGTGACCACAATTGGACCTTAATTTGATAGCGACACAAAAAATAACTTTCCCCGAACCCCCCAAATAGAATTCCATGAGTTACATTGCATTTGAAGTGCAGCACAATTACAATGCAGAGGCCTGAAACTATTTCCAATGTTTTTCCTTCTTCTTCTTTAGGAAATTTGTATTTGTACACGAGAGCAACTGAAATCTAGGTTAAATACCTCCTGCACAGTCTCCCTCTTTAAAGTCCATCAAGGCGCCTTTCTTTGATTCTTTCAATGTATGCAAGAAAATTGTGGTGGATTGACCCCAGTCCGCAGCTCAGCACCTACCCAGCTCCTTGCTCACCCCCCGCAACACCAGGATGATAATCTCATCAGGACAGAGAAAAGTAAGAGCAAAGCAAGAGAACTCATGGGTTGACAAACAGAGAGTTTAATAAGTGAAGGAAAGAGGAAAAAAAAAACCAGTGATGCAGAAGCAGCTACTCACCATCTCCCACGAGCAGACTGATGCTCAGACAGTCTCTGAGCTATGGCTACCTTCCCAAACCAACAACCCCCTCAGTTTTGATTGCTGAACATGGCATTGTATGTCATGGAATACCCCTTTGGTCAGTTGGGGTCAGCTGTCCCATGTGTATCCCATCTGTGTCCCTTCCCAGCCTCTTGCACACCCCCAGCCTAAGTGCTGGAGGGGGGCAGCTGGGGAAAAGGGGGAACCTTGACACTGTGGGTGCACTGCTGTGCAATAGCCAAAATAATGTTGTGTTATCACTGCTCTTTTAGCCACAAATACAAGACATAATATCTTACAGGCTGCTGTGAAGAAAATTAACTCCATCTCAGACAGACCCAACACAAAAAATAATGAATGCATTGCCTTAGGTTAACCACAAAGAAAATAGTCCTAGAAGGGACACCTCTTTCTTACCATCAAATGCTATTCTAAAAGGGCTTCCCTTTTTATTCCACATATATTTGCCACTTGGGAAAGTGCAAAAACATAGAGTCAAAAATATCTATACAACCTGGCTTTCTGTGAATTTAATTCTGCCATTTCCAGATGAGCAAAATTATCTTTACATCATGAAAACATATGCTTCCCCTTAATAAAGTTTTAAATATAGCCACTTCAAGTCTCTCCCCTCAGTTTTGCATTGGTGCAGTAAAGGATTATCCATGTAAATTTATATGGCCAAACTTTCTGCTGTGAGTCAGCATAGTTCCGTTGTTTTTCATGGATCAATTAACACACACTGGAGATTCTAGCTGTTGCTGTCTATGATGGCTAATGTTCCTATTATGGGGAGCTGAGAGCCATCTGTGTACATGCCATGTACATGTCTCTGTGACATCTAGTGATAGGACAAGGGGCAATGGGTTCAAGCTGGAACATAGGAGGTTCCGCTTGAGTATGAGGAAAAACTTCTTTACAGTGAGGGTGACAGAGCACTGGAACAGGCTGCCCAGAGAGGTTGTGGAGTCTCCTTCTCTGGAGACATTCAAAGCCCGCCTGGATGCGTTCTTGTGTGATCTGATCTAGGTGTCCTGCTCCGGCAGGGGGATTGGACTAGAAGATCTTTCGAGGTCCCTTCCAATCTCTAACATTCTGTGATTCTGTGATAAGGACACACCAGTGAAACAGAGACTGTAAACCGAGAGAATATGACCTATGACTGTAAAGAGATTCAGAGACAAGGTGGGTTGCCTTACCTTTGGAGCCTGTAGTACATCAGACACACCTTGCTTAGCTACTGCAAAATCAGGTTTTGGTACAAGTGTTGTTGGCTTTTTGGGAGGCCTGGGTGGTGGATGAAGGGCTTGGTTTTCATATCTTCGCATCATATAGTATTGCTGTTCACTGATCTCTTCCACTGTTGTCTTAGTTGCAGGAGGTACAACCGTCTGGACATCTTTGCTGAGCAAATGGATTGTCATGTTTAAGCGATATACAGGAATCTCCCAGCTCTCCGCTGGGCTGCTGGTGCTACTGATCAGCAAATAAGAGTCTGTGATTTCTTCTTCAAACTGCAGACCAGGCACGGCAGCCAAGACATCTTCCTCAACAGAAAGGTCCCTCACAGACACTTTGACATTAAAAGGCAAACGAAATTCTTTGCAAATCTCAGAAAGCTGGTACTGTTTCTTGTCATGAATCACTTCCACAAAGCCACCTTCCATGTACATAGGGAGGAGCACTTTCTTATATGTATCACTCAGTATTTGTTCACAAGCTAAAACATCTATGACTTTCTTTCTTCCCTCATACAGAACTTCACTAGTCTGGCGTTGCTGAACTAGAAACTGGTCTCCAACCGAAACAGAAAAAAGCTCTTTATGAGGGGAATCAAAGGCTTTAGTTGCTACAACATGAAGCTGTTCCTTTCCGTTTCTCGCTATCTCTAAGTCATAGGCAGTTGGAAACTCCCGAGGTCTTCTCTTGAACTTTCCTTTGTAGCTTATAGGGATTAAAAAATGTCTTTTGGGGGAATCACTTCTGATCTCAGAGGCTAGGACTCTTGTTGCCTGGTACTTTTTGTAGATGATGATCTCTTTCCCCGTATACAATAAGTTATAAGGTTTTTGGCTTCCCAAAGGCCCATCCATTATCTCAGCAACCATAGGAAATTCCTTGCTTGTTCTCTCAAATACATCTTCCAAAGACAGTGGCTGAAGGAAAGAGCTAATATCATAACAGTCTGTTATATCCTTGACCTCGACATCTAGATCTGAGAGGATATGAACTATGTCCTTTCGAACTGAAAAGAAAAAGAAATACCTTGATTTTTGTTTACAAATGGACACTGCAATAAAATATACATGTCCTATTGGACAGATACTAGAAGTACCTTCCCTGAGGTGTGCACCTCCATATGTTAACATGCACAATTAATAGAAAAAGTCTAACTGTTTTAATTTGAGATACATGGCTATCAGATATGCAGGAGACCTCACAAATGAAGACAGAAACAAGAGGAGACGAGAATAAGGTGCGCAAGTGAACAACAGTCTAAGAAAAAGGAAAGGGAAAAAAAAATCTAGCTTACTATCTTTCTCATAACATCTCCAAGTTTAATCAGCTCTTATCTTATCAAACTCCCTTTCTTGAATATAAGTTGCATTTCTATTCTTTTATTTCATAGTGACTTACGATTTATGCAAAGAAATGGGTGGGGGAATATTTTTAATGAATAAATAGCATTTGAACCCACTAACACATGTTGTTGCCGTGGCCAGTCTGTGAGAAATAAGATTTTTTGGTATAGATATGAGAATAATTAAAATATATATAATTATTAGAAACTAATATCACTTTTTAAAAAAGGAAAAAACCCTTGTATAACAAAGTCTATGTTTGTTGTTAATGAATTAAGAAATTTCTACTATAATGGTCCTCTGTGGAACTCCTAAATTTTCTTCTGTGGCATCTGGTTTTATTTGCTATCAGAACCGAGCCATTGCATTTAACACTCTGACAGGGAACAACAACTCTCTCATCATAAGTGAACTTGCAAAATTTTGGATGGAAAACTTCTAAGCACAAAGCTGACTGTGCAATTAAGGCTTGTTTAAGAATTTGGCTCAAGATCAGTGACACCACAGATCACTGACCAGGGCAGTAAAATTTAACAAGCAAATAATATTTAATGACTCTCTTCAGTAAGACTTCTTCTGCACAGTCCTGCACATAAAGATAGTATATCTTGGATTCTTGTAGCAGGATGTACCGATATTTTATACTTAAAAGTCGGTATCGGATGTATTTTATATGATAGAGTTTTATGACAGTGATCTGTTCATTCTAACTCTCCTTTTGTCACATTGACGTCTTCAGGTGATAAACATCCTAAGCATGACAAGGGAAAGTCAATGAAGGAGGAATGACTATTGAAATGGAAAGTTTTCTATGAGCATTTGGGGGAATACCACACACACAATTTGTTCATTATTAAGAATGAGAAGTATAGAGGATTCCTGACCACAGCCTGTGAAAATGTAATCTGCTATACTTCTTATCAGGAATCTTTTTTATTGAATTATGGATAGTATTTCTCATACTTTATCTTGTGTCTATTTATAGTCCTTCTAAAAATGTTGAAAATCTATTTTTCATGGTCCAAAATAAAGTAGTCAAACATGTACCATGAAGCTTACTTTTCAAGTTTGTATTAAATAGTTATTTAGGACATATTTCATGCTTCTTAAGTGTTGGGCACACTATGAAACATAAATGGGCATGAGATAAAAATCAACAAATACAGCTCTCACTGGAATATTGGATTGGAAGACAAGAGAATACCAAACATTTCTGAATCTTCTGAAAGCTTTTTAGAAACATTAGATTCTTATTGATTCTGCACATATATCTAAGTGGGTATAGGAATACACCAAAGTGAATCCAGCTTCAGGAGATGGGCTAGATTCCTGAATCTAGTTAGAGTTGTAGAAAATGAATTATTTTATTACATGAAGATATATTTTCCAAACTCACACATTAGATCACATAGCAAGCACAAGTGAATATCTCAGAATAAACATTTAATAACTGTCGTATACTGTGCTAATGGTCTCTGTCCACTTTTATTTCTTTCTCTTTTATCCATTTACTTACATCTTTCATCAGAGAAATCTCACTTATTAAAAGATTTCCAGCTTAGTACCCTCATGAATGACAAATTTCTCCCAGGATTTCACTTCTATGGATCTAACTGGTCTGCTTCTAGTAAAGGCAACAAGCAGCAAAACCTGCCCAGAAGCTGAAGCTCCTATGCTGCAGACTTCAACAGGATAGATGCATCAACAAGTAGAATCACAGCAAGTTTCCATCTACTGCCTGGGCTGTCCTCAAGCAATGCCAAACATTTTAGCTTAAACTGTTTTTTTGCTTAGGTAGGTATCTCAGTTCAGAGAGGGTACGCTATGCATGCACATGTGGGTCATTACTGCAGCTTGGCTATTCAAGTCACCCTAGCTCATGAGCATTTCACTGTGTGCTTATACCCTTGCACAGCTTCTGATTTTATTCCTATGACTACTTATTTCACTAACAGATTTAAAGTAAGGCATAGATATAGATATTGGTAAGAACAGAACCCTTGAGGTTCAATGTTTTGGTGGAACAACTAGAACAGTGTCAACATGCCATGGACAAGATTTGTTTTTTAAATAAAAAATAATAACATAAATTACAGCTTTTAAAGATACTGCTTTTCTAATGTCTTCCTGTTTCCTCAAACCTAGAGGTTTCAGAAATGCTCCATGAGTCTTTTCTGTTTATATTCTATTGATATTTGTTTCTGGAATAGAGTAAAAGAATATGGTTTTCTTTCTGAAGCATCCTTGTCCTGAAAAATAAATGGTAGTTGAGTGTGTTACCACATGTATGTCTGCAATCTTTTTCTACCTCCTAGCCAATAGGCAATATTATTTTTATCTTTCTTGATCTTGAAACTAGCATCAGTGGCAAATATCGATCAGGAATTCTTGACCAAACTGACTCCTTCCTATTTCAAGCAAATTCCGTGTACCTAAGGCTGCTTTGCTACACTGAGTTTAACAGAACATTGACTTTTATTGCTACTTACATTTCATTACTGCCTGCACTTCATAGACAGGTGTGAGAATCAAGCAGCCATCAAAATTCTCAGGAAGTGGATTAGAGGAGTCCCACATATGTAAAGTATTGGAAAGTTTGACAATCCGGTTTCTGCACTTAGGGATTTTCCATTCTGCAATCTCTTTTAGGGTGTATATCTGGTCATCTTCACACTCGTAGAATTTTCCTTCTTGTGAAAGGGGCAAAGTAAAGGAATGAGACTGGTTATTTCTGACCACACCACAGTTCACAGCCATCGTTCCATTGACCTCTTCCACAGAGTTGAAGATGATCTGCTCACCATGTTTGATAGTGAGGTTTGCCAGTTTTATATCCTCAGGGCTGTAGAAACATGGATGGCCAAATCTTGTTGGCCCAATAAAGACTTTTCTTGTAATTTCTTCAATGCTGACATATGGAGTTTTATCTGCCACAACCTGGTAAAGACCTAAGAACAGAAATCTTGCATTATAAAAAGGGATATATAAAAAAGAAGCCATGCCAAATTTTAGATTGCAAATGCAGTAAAAATGGGGAGCAAAGCACATAAAAAAATTCATAGATGATAGTTTGGTTGATAGAAATGTGAGTCTATAAAGATAATATCACCTACATGATACAAACCATAGGTGTCTGGAATTAGCCCTTTCCACTCTGCAGCTAAATTCTGGTATCCAACATTTTTACATCCAAGGTAAAAAGAAAAAAAAAATATTTTCTTTGCTACAGAAAAAAAGAAAAAATATCCTAAATTCATACCATCTTCTCAGGAAACCAACCTTTAAGAAAATAATGCAGACATGGTATGAGGAAAAGCAACACTACTGTGATCAGTGAAATGCAGGATAAAGTTTCTGGCTAAACATTGTACTATGTATTCTTCCACACACAGAATGCGAATTTCTAGGCCAAGTATGTTTAAAGACACATCACAGAGGAAAAAGTAGTGCCTACAGATAAAAATGAGCAAAGGAAATTGATTTTAGCATATCTGATAGCCCAGCCCCTCAGATGGAGTAACTCAAAGGTTGGGAGTTGTAGCACTGTGGCCATCACAAAGCAATTAAAGTGCTGAAGTGCTGCAAGGCAGAAGCTGCATCTGAGCTTCCCTATCCCCTCGGGACATTATTATTTCATGTTAATCAAGCCCCTTGGAGATGTCACATTAAGAGTCTACATCGCAAGAAAAATATGTATATTTCTACAGTTCTGTTTTTATAGAGGAAGATGATGTTCTAGGGGATCCTAGATCCCCTA